ATGTGGGAGGTTGTACAGAGGCATCATGCAGCAGGGGGATAAAAGTGGCTGAGTGAATTACTGAGTGGGTCGGTCCCTACTCCCTCAGTCCTGACTCCCGCCGCCCCGCGGTTCCGTCAGTCAGTCATCAGCTACTGGTGTGTGTGGGTGTGATACGCAGCTCCCGTCCCTCGTATTCTTTCAGGTAGGTCCTCCCTCCCTCTTACTCCCAGGTAGGCATCCCCCCCCTCCCCCACCATTTACCCACTGGTATGATTCTTCCCCCTCCCACGTTGTCTCACTCAGCCCCATCACATGTGAAACTATTGGCTGAGGAGACGAGGAGCAACCTTACCAGGTGGTGAGAATGTTTGATTAGACTCTTTCTCTCTCATATTCTGTGACTCTCAAATTACTTTGCAACCTTATGTCAAAAGTGGTATGTGATATTAAAAGGAATGTGATAACCGCTGAGAAGAACCTTCATATTGAACTGTGAGGATTTCGCCCCATGTTGGAATTAGGAAACAGTATTGTGTTGGTCGATTGGCCAAAGAAAAGACAGACTGTGACGACCTTGGCCAATACTATGCTGTACTTAAAAACATACAAGCTAAAATTATGAACTCTGACCTAGAAGAACTGAAAAATTCATAAGAGACCTGACAGTTGTGACATTTGCAAGTGTGACAAATTTTGTGACAAAAAGTACCGGTATGACCAACACAAGGACAGAACCAGACATTGTGATGTCGTCTTACCCATATCGGAACACACACCATTTTAACTTTGTGAAAAAACCTCTGAAGCACCAAGTCACTTAGCTTATTGTATCATGAACTATGTAACTACTACAGTGAATAAGGAGTCCTTGAAGATATATGGCAGTGTATCTTACACTTCCTAGTCCATCCTGTTTAGTCTGCAGTTTATATTATGGCACTAATCAATATGACCTACTCTATTGTCATCTCTTGTGTATGAACCTCTGTCCTGCGTGGCAGTGATCAGTGACAACTCCCTCAGTATCAAGACCTGACTGAACTACTTAGATTTGGCAAATTTGCACCTGGATCTTGCCAATAAAGTTGTTTAACTAAACATTCTCTCTCTCTCTCTCTCTCTCTCCTTAACCTAGTTATTCTAATTGTTCTTCTGCTTCCTTTATCTTTTTGTTTTCTTATTTTTCCTTCTTATTTTTTGTTATTCACTTTTTCTACCATTACTTGTTATATGTTTTTATAGGATTAAGGTGGTGAACGAGGTTGGTCGGTGACCCACTACACCTTCATGCAGTAATCCCCGTGTGGGACGACCTTGTCCTTTGGTACCTTCTGAGTTTTCTTCTTTACACAATTATTATTTTTTTTTTTTGGTGGTTTTGATTCTTCGGCTTCATGGTCTTGATACTAGCGACCGAACCCTTCTTCTTATGGACACAGGCTGCATTGTTATGACTGTGTGTAGTGATGACCGAGAAATCTATAAAAACTACTGGAAAATCTGAAAGAAATTTGATGAAAATAATCTGAAAATAAGAGCGAAGATTCATACTAAATATTGAAAAAATTTAAATATTTATTCTCTTATGATAGAAGTTATTTGAGCCTCACACCATCCCTCCCTCTCACCTTCTCTCACTTAACTCCCTCAGTCCCTCCCTCCCACCTCTCACTTATTCCCCCCAGTCCCTCCCCACTTTCTATCATTTACCCCTCCTTCACTTCCTTCCCTCCTCACCTCCCTCACACTGACACCTCAACAGCACAGAAACAGATGAACGTGAAATGTTAGAAATAAGAGACGTCAACAGTAGCAAGAATTATATGGATGTTTGGAAAGTACTGGTGATGGTGGTAGACGTGGTGGTAATGGTGGTAGACGTGGTGGTAATGGTGGTAGACGTGGTGGTAATGGTGGTAGACGTTGTGGTGATGGTGGTAGACGTGATGGTAATGGTGGTAGACGTGATGGTGATGGTGGTAGACGTTGTGGTGATGGTGGTAGACGTGATGGTGATGGTGGTAGACGTTGTGGTGATGGTGGTAGACGTGATGGTGATGGTGGTAGACGTGATGGTGATGGTGGTAGACGTGATGGCGGTAGACGTTGTGGTGATGGTGGTAGGCGTTGTGGTGATGGTGGTAGGCGTTGTGATGGTGGTAGACGTGGTGGTAGACGTTGTGGTGATGGTAGACGTAATGGTGATGGTGGAAGACGCTGTGGTGATGGTGGTAGACGTGATGGTGGTAATGGTGGTAGACGTTGTGGTGATGGTGGTAATGGTGGTAGACGTGAAGGTGATGGTGGTAGACGTGATGGTGGTAGATGTTGTGGTGATGGTGGTAGACGTTGTGGTGATGGTGGTAGACGTAATGGTGATGGTGGAAGACGCTGTGGTGATGGTGGTAGACGTGATGGTGATGGTGGTAGACGTTGTGGTGATGGTGGTAATGGTGGTAGACGTGAAGGTGATGGTGGTAGACGTGATGGTGATGGTGGTAGATGTTGTGGTGATGGTGGTAGACGTTGTGGTAATGGTGGTAGACGTGATGGAGATGGTGGTAGACGTCGTGGTGATGGTGGCAGACGTGATGGTGATGGTGGTAGACGTAGTGGTGATGGTGGCAAACGCGGGAGTGAAGGGAGGAACATGGGAATGGTTTCAGTAACGCGCGAGTGACGTTATAAGCGCAGAAGTGATGTCAAAAATGTGTCAGTATTGTCAGAAGTGTGTAGATGGTGTCAGAGGCATGTGAGTGACGTCAGGGCGTGTTAGGGTTGTCAAAAGCGTATCAGTGATGTCAGGAACATATGAGGGAAGAAAGAAGCTCGAAAGTGAAGGCAGACGAGTGTGAATGATGCCATGCGAGTGTGAGTGACGTCAGCAACATGTGAGTGGCGTCAGAAGTGTGTGAGTAACGTCAGCAGTGTGTGAGTGACGTTAGAAGTAAGTGACGGCAGAAGCGTGTTAGTGACGTCAGAGGCGTGTGAGTGACGTCAAAAGTGTGTGAGTGACGTCAGAAGCGTGTGAGTAACGTCAGAAGCGTGCGAGTGACGTCAGAAGTGCGGAGGTGGGATAAAGTGTGGGAGTGTTTTGTGTTGTTGGGCTTCAATAGGAGTTGGAGTTGGAGTTCTTGTTGGTCTTGAAGCGGAGCCCACCACACACACACACTCTCTCTCTCTCTCTCTCTCTCAAACGCACACACACACCAACTTTGCTCATCTGTTTAGGTCTTTTCTGGATCCGGTCTATACCTTTCTTTTATTTTTTCTCCGCCATACTATAAACAACAACAACTTTGCTGTAAGTTCCCTAAAAGTTTAGGGTATATATAGCAAGCAAACTAGTTCTCCTTAACTTACTCCGTCCGTCCGACAGACCGTCTTTGTTTTAATGAGTTTCCACCAGCCTTCCCAGTAATTTAATTCCACCTAATTTTAGACAAGAAATATCACAGGTTGGTAGGAGAAACATCTCTGGTTGGTATGGTAATAATGTTAAGGGTTAGTATGGTAATAATGTTATGGTTTGGTATGGTAGAACTCTCATAGTTCAGTAAGGAAAAAATATCATTCAAAATATCACGGAATGGTAGAGGAAAAATATTTGTTTCCCACACTTCTAATTTGTTTTAATTTTCTCGTATTCTTTTGTTTTCTTCGTGGCATTGAACCTTAGCAGCCATTTCTTCGACCACCCTTGAAGCTGATAGAGATCTTTCTGTAGCTCTTCACAGTCTGTTTGGTTCTTAATTTCCCTGAATAACTTGGCATTATCCGCAAACATATGTATGGAGGAGTGTACAGCTTCTGGCATGTCATATATAAAGCAAACAAACAACAACGGGCCCAGTACCCTGCTCTGTAGTACCCCGCTTTCCACGGATACAAATGAAGATTTCGTGCCATTAATCACCACATACTGCTTGCGATGCTGCAGAAAGTCTCCTATCCACACTAGGACATTCCCCGAATCCCGTACCCCTCCAGTTTAATTCTCAGCCTTTTATGGGTGGGGTACGCTGTCGAAAGCCTTGGCAAAATCCAGGTGTATATTATCATTACCTTGAGTAATTGTGTCAAGCAGGAGCGTCCCAGCATAAAACCGTGATGGGGGTCCTTCACAATGTTGTTTCGTAGTTGATGTTCCATCATGACATCTCTTATGATGCTCTCTAGTACTTTACATACTATGCTGGCCAGGTTCACGGGTCTACAAATATTCGTAAAGTGATGATCATCCTGCTTGAATATAGGACTCACATAAGCCATTTTCCGGTCACTGGGGACGTTTTGGTCATCCAGGCATTTACAGAGCAGGATCTTAAGGGGATGCACCATATCAGATTTAACTGTTACTTGGTCCATGATAAAAGCAGGCCGAGGTTCAAATATCACAAGGGCGATTACGACGGGATGGAGGAGGAGATGAGGGGTATTCATTGGCCTGGCTTGAGATACAAGAACGCAGACACTACGCTGAATATTATAACCAATAAAGTGAATTATTTGATTAATAAATGTATACCCAAGACCAAACCCACTGGATCCAGGAATACAAGGAAACCGTTAAGCATGAACCATGCCTACCATAGTTTTTATTTTAGGAATTAGGATTTGTTTCATAACCAAACTGAATAGCACAAACTGACAAAAGATGATCCAAAAACTTGGTGAATCCTCGCATCCACGACGTGCCCACTTTAAGTCAGCTCTGTTACACCACCCACGGATCATAATATACTCTTTAGTCCTTGACACTACCAGTGTATGCTTCATGTCAATACCACTCAAGTAATAAGGGTACCATTGTTGTTAAATGTTACCACTTCAACTCTACTGAACGTAATTAGAATATTTTGTTAGTTTTATATTATTTTGGTAAAAATGGGATTATCTGGTAGTTACCCGAACACAATGATGAAATATTGTTGTTAGTCCTCGCACCGGACCACTGTTACCAGACGTCATCGATTGGTAGACGACAACAACACGGGGCTAGTGTGAGTCAGGCTTTAGACCCCTATCATATTGTGTCGATGGATACACTTTCAAGTGTCTGTAGTTTTGTTAAACAATAGGAAAAATATAAATGATTATTAGTTGTCGGATTGTAAATTATAAAATAACTTTTTACATAAAATCATGTACTTTATTAATAAAATGAAATACGATTGATGATAATGTAACCTTGGTTTAAAGAGAGCAGACATTGTGTTGGTGAAGCTGAGTCCCTGGAGTATGAAGACTCTTAATGTAGTGTTCAACTGGCGGTGTGACCACTAGAGTGAAACAAGGTAATGCAACACTGTTAATGATGTGCCATACATTATTAAATCTAAATGCAAGTAATGGTTCCTTACAACTTACCAGGAAATGCTATCAGTGTTACTGTAATTCTGAATGCAGCAAAAATGACGTCTTAATATTTACCATAGTATTTAATCATTTACGCCACTTATTTGCCGTTCGAGCGATTGTCCTATCCAGTGTTCGTATTGGAGGAAACCCTGGTAGATTTATAGATAAGCACCGTTATTTCTTTGGATATTGGAAGCATAATGTGTTGTCTAATGGTAGACCCTGCTGCCAGCACCACGAACACTGTGACCAAGTCCCAGGTTGCTCTTCTGACTTTCTGCCTCATTTACACACAATTGCAGGGTCTCTATTGTTTCTCTTACCATTGACAACACAACATACAGGTATATATATTGTTTCTCACTCTTGATCTTTGTTTTATTTTTTGTTTATTATTATTATTATTATCATTATTGTTATTATTATTATTATTATTATTATTATTATTATCATTATTATTATTACCCAAGTGACCTGTGCCCTGGTGGGCTAATCCCCGTAAAAAATAAAAATAATAAAATATGTTTATCCTATGGTATTTTATGAGTTTCGAACGAATTTGATATTCATTTCTGCCGGAAATCATCACTTTTTTTTCTTCTTTTTTTTAACCCCCTTCCCCGTCAACAATCTAAGGGAAATACTTGGAATTTTTTTTTTTACTAAATCACAAATAAAATACCAAACAACCAACCCAACCGTGGAATTTGAAGAATTTTTTTTTATGGGATTATTTCAAAACTGACTTTTATTTTTGTCGAAAATCACTCGTTTGTGATTTAGCCCCCCCCCCTTTCCATATAACAATACTGGGAAAGAGTGTGGGCATTCAGATTTTTTGGTGGGGGAGAGCATAAAAACGAGTGATTTGTGGATTATACAGTACAACCAAACTAAACCTTACCTAACCATCTAACCGCGGACCCACGGTGGCCCTGCCCCCGTACCCCCACCCCCCCGATGGCCCTGCCCCCAGAGGCCTTGCCACGGGCCCTCGGTGGCCCTAGGTGGGGGGCGAAGGCCGTATGCTAGATAATAACCCAGAGTCGCGTGGTCACATTAATATAAGGAGCCGTTTCTTACCTTACTCAGGGTCAGAGTTAGAGACAGGTGCTCTGAGTGTATTCTTTTTAAAATTCAATAACTTCATTATTATAAATTTGCAACGGAAGTGTTTATAAGAAATTGATAATAGAAAGAAATAGTTCTATCGATTGAGTGAAGTGAATTTCCGGAATTCTTTGGTTGCTGTAATCTGCACAATTACCCCCTAACATAACCTGGGTAGCACCTCTTCCGTTTCTTACTGTTCGGCTGAAGAAAACTGTGGTTACACCGCCAAATGTGTTCTTCTTCGTGCAGTGTTACACTAATTATTACACTTTCGGCAAATAATTTGTTCAGTAATACTCAGTGTTTTCTAAAAAAAAAATAAAAATTGCCTCACTATTTTTCTGATGAAACTCGGCAATTGACGTAAAATTATCTCTTATCACAATGTCAGCACAGCTCTTCCACCTGTTCAGCCATATCTCGTACTGAAAATTCAAACTTCTACTCCCGACGCTCCCACGCATTGTTCATTGGCTAAGACAAAAAACTCTTGCCCAATAATAAGTCTCCTATCACTATAGCCAATAAGAAACTCCCACACCACATCCCGCATATGCACCGCAGACGCTTAAGAAGCGAAGTCGGAGGTAAGGAGCACTGCGGGAGGGGGGTGTCAGGCCTTCTCCACCAGATGTAAACAAATCATGGCGACACTTGTGACTGACCAAATCTAATAATATTGAAAAATTAATATCTCGGTTACCCATAATTTCCGGTGGAAATATCATAGAAGAAAAATGTCTTAGAATTGTCTAAACATTATGAAATGAATATTAATAACAGCGAGAGAAAGACCGGTGCTTTACTATAAATTCACCAAAACCAGGGACTGGGAAACCTGTGATTGTTGGTAGGGTCACACTGGATATGTTAGTAGTACCTACCGGTAGGATAACGCCCTTCTTGTGTGTGTCCGGGCTGAGGTTTGAACCTTTTGACGTATTGGTGTGAGTTAAGCGTGTTATTCCTGTACCACCAACACCCCTAAACAAGATGCTGCAGACAAGATAAAAGGTTAATATTTAGAAGTTGCCATCACCTACTTATAAAGGGAGAAAGAGGTAACAAACTAAAATTAATTTATTCGAGAACGTTTTTGTCGGAATTGTTTATTTTTTGAGTATTTTAACTAATAAAATTACCCTCAATACGTATTAGTTGTTTAATGTGGGCAGGGCTTTGAAGTATAGGTAAAATATGGTGTTCCCAGGTGGTCACCCATCCAAGTACAGTACTAACCAGACCCAATTATGCCATAATTCTGTCAGTAAAATTTCACTTGTTGCCATGCTACAAAATTTGAGAATTTTATGGTGAAGGAGACAGTTAGCACCAGAAATAAAATATGTAATTGAACCAAAATTTCGGGAGATGCTCTTTGTATGATACTGAACATAAAAATGGAAGTGAGAATGCACAGAACCTATTAGAATGTGGCCTAACCTACCTAACCTTGGTACATATTTGTTTAATGGCTGTGGCTCCTTTTTGCATAAGAAAGGAAGGTCAGATTTGAATAAAACACACCGAAATACGCACAAAAAACTATTCTCATAACAATTTCAACTTTCAAATCACTGTTGAAGCCTAACCTAGTCTAACCAAACTTAACCAATCCTAGAATAACCAAATACGAAAATATTGCCGCAGCCACTAAATATTAACCCTAACCTTACCAAACCTAACCTAACCTCACCTACCTTGCTAACCTGTGCATTATCATCATCATCCAAACAACATCTCTAGAAAAAATGAATGAATTCAATCCAATATAAATCGTAATGAACACACCTGATGAGATTGTTGATCGTTTCTCAACATGCACTGTAAATAAAAACTGTGGACTCTCCCATATATCAGACTATGTGAACCAAAACATAGTCACCATGGGAGATCTTATGGCACCATAATTACGGTAAATATTTTATTTCTTCATCTACAAAGCATGAAAAGAGTGAAATTACATCTTTCGTGCCCTTATGTTAAATGAAAAAAATGTGTTAATTAATTTAGGAAATTTCTATATCCAGGTTAGCTTATTTTCATATCTTTAACATTCATTAAGTGAGGGATACCTGTTCCAAGGTAGATAACCTTTGGACCCATATAATGTGTGTATAAAGTTATAGGTCTCACTGCTTCCATTTTGGAAGCAGTCAATAGTACGAGTAATACTGTACCAAGGTGGACAACCTTGGGACCCATATATTATGTGTATATAAAGTTTCAGGTCTCTAACTTCTTTCATTTTGGAGCTATGGTTGGATCAGACACAGGCATGTCGTTTTATTATTATAGATTCTTCAATAGTATTGTTTTACTTGATTTAGAAGTGTTCATGCATATCTTATAATCCTCTACATGAGCAACCTCTCTTATTAATCACAGTAAAATTGAGTTATTCAACAATGGATAACATGTAAGATTACACTGCGCAAAAGTACCCAAGTGAGGAGGTCATATTAAATTTGTATATCTAATTTCAACTGGGTTAAAAGATTCTAAATGATTACCGTCGGCGAGATTGCAACCAATAACTAATATATCCAAAATGGATCAATCAGAATATGCCTTAGTGTTGTAGCAAACTTTAAGTTTACTTAGCATCAAATGTAGAAGCCTAGATCTGGGGTTTGTGATCATTGAAGACTTCCTTGATGGTAGACTGCTTGCTAATTATATAAGTGAATGTCATTTGTCTTCTTTGATCAGTGAAGTCTATTATTTTATTTTGCAGTTTTACAGTCATACCATTGAGCTTTGCATTTCAAGTAAGATGCCACCTCGCCGTCAACCAAGGCAGCTGTTGTGGTCTTGCATCAGCTCAACCAGTGAGATGGTTATAGCACAAACTCTCTCCTCTCCAGAACCTGTTCAGGTAAGTTCATATCCATAACTAGTGTTTCATTTTAATGGTGCGGTTTCATAACAGAACCTTTAATTAACCCGAAAAGTGATTAAATGAGCTTAGAGACAGTCTTACAGCCTTATCTTCAGCTTTTTTCTCTTTTTTTACCCCTGAATTTGTAAAGTACAACAGATCTTCAGCAAAGTTTGGTATTATGGTACACTTATAATTAAACTTCCACTATTCTGTTTTGAGTTATTGACTTGCTTGTTCTCACATTCAGTGAGTCAAACTGCTTAATCCCTCCGGGGTCACACATGCATGGGGAAAAATCTAAATCTAAGTATGTCAGTTGTAGCAGTGTGGTCCTGGGCAGAGTGATCTCAAGTGGCAAAATTTGAAATCTTAATTCAGTTGTCAAGCACTGTTTTAGATGCAGCAGTATAGTCCTAATATTCTAGCCAAGATATTAGACCTCCTGAAGGCTATACTGTACAACTTGACATTGATGCTTGGAAGTGTATTACAAATGATACTGCAGTGCACTATTTAGAGAGAGAATGTTCGAAGCATTTTTTAAGAAAAGTTGGCAAACAACTTTTTCCAAAGTATTTGGGTATACAGTATTGAAATTTAATATTTTGTTTGCCACCCTTGATTTTGTAATTTTCTTGCCAAAATTACTAGAACAAAATGGCCAACTTTGGCTGCAATGGAAAATTTAGAATGACCATGACTTCTCAATAGGAGGATAAAGCCATGATTTTTGCATCAAATACCATGTTTTTTATGCCTACCAACACACATCAGAATAGAGTTATGTTCAATATGCTGTACTGTACAGTATATGGATGAAACCAGTGGGAGTGGCATTTCAATTGAAAATGGCCTTGTCTAAATTTTAGAAGCACAAGTACAGCAAAAGAAGTCATTAGTGTGATTTATTCTTTATTTCTATATACAGGTGTATATATATGGTACTTATGATTATTTATTAACTCCTTTAAGCACATAGCTCATATTTTGTACTACTGTACTCCTTTTTTAGGGTTATATGTGTGGTGGGATGAATTTCAAAACATGCATCTTCTTCGTCTTTCTAACAAGATTGGGATATAGCTGTTACTTTTACTACCCGTCTTGAAGCCTCTTACCTGAGAAAATATGAGGGAATGCCAGAAAAAGGTTCGGCAGTGAAAAATTTGGTTCAGTTTTCATTAATATATCATCTTACTCCAACAGCATCCAGTCACTCATTCGTTTCCTGTAAAGTTGCCCATGTTAACGGTGTCGAGGGTGGAGTTGTCCAGCCACTCGTGCACGCTATCTCCCACTTATCTCTCACAATTCACTTCCCACTCTTAATTTTTCTTAATTAAAGTTTATTTTCTTCATTTCTAAGTTGTATTAGAGCATTGAAATGAAATATCCACAACTTTTATGCTTATATAACAATGGCACATGTACAGGCTTCTCACACCTAACTAGCACCTGTGTGTTATAGTGATTTCTGGACTTGATATTTTCCCTCACACAATATACCTCTAGCCTTATTTTTTTTCTTCTTATATCTTTATATTATTGTATTGTATACATTCTTGGCCACACACAAGTTACCATCTCACTAATTGTCAGCATCTACCCACACATGTTTAAAAAAGAATTGTCATGTGTATGGTGCCTTATGAGCACTGTTTCCATAAATGAGTTTTGACTACCTTCACCACTGTAAGGATCAGTTAAAGAGTAGTACATCACCCAGAGGCTGGTGCAATAAAGATACAGTACGACCAGATGAGCTTTCGCAAATTAAGAACTTATGATTCGACAATATAATGTGCAGGTGATGGAGTTTAGTTTAATTTGGTATTAAATGTCTGTAGATTTAGTAATTCCATGAACATGGATTGTTTATTAGTACTATATTTTGTAAATGAAACTCATCAAAATTTATTTTTTAATCCTAAATGTAATAAACTATTTGACTGGAAAACGTACTTATTTGCCTTGCAGGAGATGAGCACACGGAAGTTACTGCTCAAATATGTGCCACCGATGCTGATACAAGATGTCCTTCACAGTGTCTTGTGGCGGCTAACCTTACATCATTCAGTACATGCCTCACCTGCTGTCTTGTCATGTCTTTTACGTATTCTGCTTCATCCTCAGTAAGATTTATGAATACACATTCTTTGGATGGTTTTTACAAAATAAAAATATATAAAGTGCGCACAAAATATTGTAGTTAAATTTTCACCTACATTCTTACACTAGTGTATATGTTGCACCCATGATTATTAGCTGCACTGGTAACTATGAACACTCGCTCTAAAAAAAATTGTAAAAGGTTTTGTGTGAGACAATATAACATAACGGACGAAAGATTTTGATAACCCTACCAAGACAACAGGAGCTGCAGTGTTCATTTTGAAATTCATCTGACCCCTCTTTGAAGATAGTACATATTTCTGTAAAGTGGAAATTAACATTCCACAGATTTAACATAGACAAGGAATTTTATAAACACACACAGTATACAGTGCAGGGGGTCCCCCGGTTATGAACGGGTTCTTTTCCTGAGGACATTCGTAAGCCGGAATACATGCTACAAGCGTACCGTACTTACAAAACAATGTTTAAAATCCCACTATATCATAACCTAAGTCTTTATATACATCTAAAATCATTTAATTTAGGACAAAAGAAGAAATAGAATGACAAAATACAATAAATGAAAGTAAAAATAAGTCATCAGGTAAATAAAATACAGAACTGTAAATTTCAAGTTTAGCCTCGTTCGCATTGGCGGGCATTCGTAAGTCAGACGTTCGTAAGTTGGGGACCTCCTATACCTGTATTTTATTTTTTTCGCTCGTCTGTATACTGTATTGTTGAAATTAGTTCATGAATCACATTATAAAATTTAGTCAAATAACAGTGAAATTTAGCTTAACTAATAATTACTTTACTCTACTTTAAAATATATGCATAGTAAATATTCATATTGGAAATAAAAAGCTTCAATACAAAATAATATAATACAGTATGGCAACACTGCATAGAGGCATGTTTCCTGAAGGGTTGTTTTACTCCTCTTTCCAAAGGTGATATTCATTTTTTGTGGAAATGAGTTTTAACCCAAAATACAAGTATCTGCACTTTATACTGCATTACTCGAATAGTATTTACAAATTTAAACACCACATTCAGAAAGGACATAAAGATACTGTAGATAGTTATTGTGTGGCAGATAATTTCATTGTGTACTGAGTGACCCCTCACCATCCACCCCCTTATACTGGAGTGGCATAGTCCACTGTCAGAATTTCCCTTTTAAAATTATCATGTTTACAACATGGAAATTAGTGTGTAATATCTTTAAGATGTGATTACTTTTTTTGGTAGGTTGTATGGTCTAGTTTGAACAGGGTCTGATTTCATATTTCTAGATTTTAACAGAAGACTCAGTTGTGAGGAGACATATTTTGATTATGCTGTACAGTACATTAATAAAAGAATGCATTGCTATACCATGGACAGGTAATAAACTATTTGGGGGAAATAACTTCAAAACAGCATTTAAGTGAAATTATGCAGTGTAGACATATGGAAGAACCAAAAATGAGTGTATTGTATTGCAAAATACCTGTACAACATAAAATATGCTTACTTTTACAAATACCCTATGTATACTACACTCCTGTGCACGCACACACATAAACACACATATAAGATTATTTAAGTTTGTTTATTTTTATTTTTTCCAGAATGACAGATCTCCAGCTATCAGATCTAGGTTATGTTGGATCTGTAGAATTAGAAACTCTTGACAAGGTGGAGACAACACTGATGCAACTGTTGCCTGCTATGACAAAATTGACAACGTTAAACCTGTCAACACATAGAAACAAGATCACGCTCCCATCGTGCTCCACAGGCATTCTGCAGGTCTTAGGGCGCTCATGCCCTAACCTCAAGCTTCTCAATCTGAACAATAACAACCGTGTTAGTGGCGAAGGACTATTACATTTGTATCCAACTGACCATCAACCAGGTTGCATCGAACTAGAGAAACTCTTTATACAAGATTGTAGTGTTGAACCAGAAGATGTGGCAATGCTTATTCATTTCTTTCCAAACTTACAACTTGTAGGTTACAAAGAACTTGGTACATCTTTGCAGATATTGAAGTCCCAACCCAAAAAGTTTGGCCGAAAGAGACGACGGTGTCAGTACAATCTGAAGCTTACTCATGTTGATAATTCTATGTCAAGAGTACAAAAATGTGATGGTGAAATAGTGGACTTTATATGTGAAACATGTCCTGATATAGAGAATTTAAAAATTCGTGTGTGTGATGAAGATGTGGGAGAACTTGGCAAGTTACAGAAACTAAAGCACCTGGAGCTCAGATTTTACACTGGGGTGCATCAGCCCATCAGCAGCTGCACAGAAAATCATCTGAGGACCAATGGGTGTCACTTATCATCCCTCACAATATACTGCAATCGGTTGCATTCTCACCATGTACAGATAATAGCTGAAAATTGCACCAGTTTGACTAAACTATTTTTACATGCAAATGTGGCAGTTGTGGACAGAGTTCTCGAATCAGGTTCTAGCAGACTTAGCAAGTTAGAGGTAAGGAGTTTTCTTAATGAATTTTTATTTAGCAATAGTACTGTTTTAAGGGATTACATGGAGATCATTTGGGTTTGCATTTGGCAATTTCTATTACTACAGGTTGAACTTTGATTTAACGGCATTGACGAGACCTAGACCATGCCATCAAATCGAAATATGGGGGGGGGGGGCATCGCTGACGAAACTATTGCATCAAACTATCAAGATTGTCATATTTGTCATAATATTTTAGGTTAGAAATTATAAAAGTTTCAGAGATGGTATTGATATTAATATGGAGTAATTTTGTAATAAAAACTAATAAATTTAAACAAATAATTGTTTTCTCTATATAATTCAAGTCTGAGTATGTAAATAAACACCTAAACATGTACAGTACTTTCCATGGGACGTAAATCAGTCAGGGTATTATAGTCTACCCAAGTAAAACCATGTTTTCTAATACAGAGGAAAGGTGTAGAAATTACAATACTCAAATGTGGCTTAGAAATAAAGAAAATATAATAGAAAACTGTAAAGTAAGAAAACTGACGTGCAAGGGTGTGTATGTGTGGGAAGTGAACTTATGTATGGAGGCAGTGAGCACTGAGTTGTAACTGCATCTCGACTTGTCAGTCGGCAGTCTCAATCCACTCGGTTCCTACCCCAGATGTGATGTCACAGCATACTGACACACACACACATACACACATCTCGGAGTCAGCTAATGACTGCCTAGCTGATCTGTGTCGCGTGATGTCTTGATTTGGCTACATTTGCACTTAAACAACTGAGCAGTGATTAAAGCAGTTCATATGGAGACACAGTATACACTACAATAATATTTATTAACTTCTGATAAATACGCTACAATATTATTTACTAGTGCCCAAGATAGATCCCATGGTAAGCAGGTAGAGGAACTAGTGGAAATTACAGGCGGACTTTTCAAAAAAAAAAATCCACGATCTATAAAATCAAGGTTCAACCTGTAAATCTCTCTTTGTAACCAGTAATTTTCAGCATCCTTCCAGTTCATAATTACTGTGATAGTAATTTACTTAAATTGTTAAAATCTCAACAGTGCTATTAATGTTTTGAGGTTCAGTATGTTAGCCACAGCCTGATGCACCCTTAAAAAAAGAGAACTAGGCTGGAGCTTATTTGTAAAATTGTCAGAAGTAAAGCTATCTCCAAACTGCTTAGTTATGTCTTCTGTGTGAGATTGATGTATTTGTATCAGAAAGTAAAACCTTTAGTTACTGTTTAATAATAATTACCTCATACTGATGCATAATTCCTATTTCAGGTGTTAAGTTTACGACTGGGACATGACGAACTGATCATGAGTCCCGCAGCATGTGAGCTGGCACTGTTCCTACTGAGTGAAGCTCGCCTCATTCAAGAGTTGTTCTTATTAGTGCGCTCCCCTGGTGTTCATCATGACTTTATGAACACCCTCCTAGTAGTTAATCCTCTCTCCCATTTAAAGGTTTGTGAATTTTACTTATTTAAGAAGGCAGTACATCCTACCCTAAAGTCAGTCTTTTATTTTTTCCTTATTGCCATAATATATTGCAGTAGCTATGTAGAGTCCTAGTCATTCACTGGTATTCTTTCGTTGTTTCTGGCAGGTATTTCAGTTATATTTTGTTATTTAAATCCAAATGTCATTTTATGCTGAATTGTACAATATGAACTGCTGCTTTTGGCTGGTGCTGAGAATGAGGGATGGATCCCACCCTTTGGTAGAATATAAGTGCAAAGAAATTGTCACATCTTACCTACCAGGAAGTTAGTTACCTTACAAAACATTGCTTCTCTGGGATAGAGGATTCAACAGAATTTTACCTCAAGAAGCTATAAAATTGGTCTTTGAATTTTGTTTAAGCTGTGGATGAAGATACAGTACTGTAGTTGCATTTCAACTGGGAAATAGTACACAAGACTGTCTAGTAGGTGTCTCTTAACCCCTTAGGGGGCAGAGTTTGGTATGGAGGAGGTGGTGATGTGCCTTCCAGTCCTTGGATTGTAGTTGACCTAGAAAAGAGACATTGGTTGAGGGCTTTCCAAATGTGGGACTATTATGGGTAATAATTACCCCTTCAGGGATTTCCTCTGAATCCAGAGACACTCCACAATTTATGTTAAGGCATCACCGCCACTACAGAATATTACCTCAGAAGGTTGGACAATAAAATATCTGGTCCTGGCCCTTTTCACTGAAGTGGACATTGGAAAGTGTTGGAATTCCTAATGACACTGGTGATGATGTATAGAAAATCACCAGTATTGTCTAAAACAGCCTCGCAAGTGGTGTGGTGAAGATTCCTTTCCAAGCAGTAAAAGTTTGAAACACAACAGGCATGGTTAGCTTTCTAAACAATACTGGTAGCTGTACTGTATTGATATGCCTTGTGAATGTTTTCTGGATGTCCTCTGGAGGGAGATGGAAGCTGTTGATGGAATCAATAAAATGCAGCAGTTCTTGTAGTGAGGGCTCTCCATCTGTTTGTAAAGAGGATGTGAAAAGTGAAATTGGTTTCCATAGGCCTCATGCCCCATTAGGGGCACTGCATATACAAACACACAGAGGCAGTGTGGCAGACACTACCATATCTGCCTTCATTTTTCCACAACTAGCGATACTTAGGACAGAAAACTTGGAAGATGTAATTTCCCACCTTACTGGCAAGACTCACAATTTTGAAATGTGAAGATTTATTGTTGTACTGCATTTTCAGCTAATGTTATGCCTAAATCATAGAGGAAATACCTGTGAAAAGTGGTGCATTTACCTGTATTGATTTATAATGAACTGTGTTGTTCTTTGAGGACCATGAGTAGAAATGTTTAGGTTCACCTGCATAAACTTTACCAGTACATTCCCTTTGTTTGACACAGGTTCCCACATGTAAGTGTCTTCACTGATGAAACAAAGGATGAGCTGTTTACTCACTCACTGGTTCAGTGTAATCCAAATTGATAGCTTTGTTTTGCTTACTTGGTGTGTCGTGAGAGAACTGCATAATCGTGGTTGGTGCTGGCAGACAATATATTATGTTGCCATCTATTGAGTTGTGTGGGGGAACTACATTTTCATCAGCTGCCTTCATTTTATATTTATTATTAAACCTTTAAAACCTTAGCTCACAACTTTTTTTTAGGCATGATCTTTTTCTTCTTTTTTTCAGATGTTTACTTACAAGGGAATTAACACTCAAAATATTGTGTTACAATTCTTATTACTTTAGTAAAATCAGTACTATATATTGAGAGTAGCTTTGGTAATTATCCCCAAATAATTCGCTGATACAAGAAATTATGAAAAAAATCGCAATTATAATGACAATCTGTATGCTAAATAAATCATTCTATTTGTAACTAAAACATTTTGATAGAATTTACATGCAAAAAAAGGCCATTCACAAGAAAATAAGACATTTCTTTGAAGAAATAATATTTCCAAACATTGTAAAATTTCTTTTGGTGTTCAAGATGATTTAGAATGTATGGGAAAAGAAGAAAAATCAAAGAGAAATGAGTACCCTGAAATTACTATCAGTTTTCTGTCTCTATTCTTTGGTAAACTACACTAAATGTAATGTGGAAACTTTTTTGACAATTGTTTTCAAAAAATCACAAACAAAAACATGGATATAATACATTCGCTTATATAAATGTGTAAATGAAGTAATTATCTAATCAAAGATAAACAAGACATCATACCATACAGAGGCATTACTGTATCATTCAGGCTCCCCTAAATGTTTGTGGAAGTGTGATAAACACAAAAACAAGGTACTACACATAGAGCAACATCACAATCAGAACAATAATATCTGCTTTCTCTTCGGATTTTCTTCCCATTTGCATCACATTTTCGAGGGCACAGGGCACATCATCTTGTTGGGGCTTTCTTCTTTTCACTTGCAGGCAGAATTTCTGGAAAGTGTCTTCCAGTGAGACGAAGTCCTGCTGATTTGGAGTCAAGCTCAGGTGTATGGTATTTCAGCTAATCTGCTCAGTGATACTTATTCTGTACTGGAAAGGAGTACTTGTCCCTCCTGATTTCATATAAAGGAGGTAAGGGTTCCACACTGCCAAATCTATAGGATGCATAAATATTTTCTCATAGAACTTCTTCCCTCACTTTCTTAGTACAGGATATTCTACCAGGTATTGATCCACTTTATCTACTCATCCAATTGTATTATTATAGTCCATTACTGCTTGTGATTTCATCTACACTTCACCTCATTTTTCCACACTCACCATTTCTGCCTTATTGATTGTTTAAAATAGAGAGATATCTTTCTTGTTTTTCTAATGCACAGCAATGATATGAGTTTTCCTCTAGTAAATGATACAATCTCCCCTTTCTTTAGGTTTTCTTTGGGAATATCAATGGACATGTCCTTTCTTGTGAGTTCCATACAAATCAGTATTTTGACTTGTAAGAATGTCTGCTAGCTGTGGAGATGCTTAGTAATTATTCACATTGAGACAATATCCTTTATTCACCAAAGGTTTGATAAGTGTCATTACTACCTGTGATAACATTGGAAGATCTTTGTTATCATTATCAATAATTGTACCTTTCCCTGTATATATCATGAAAGACAAAAGCACAAAAATTTATTCACTAGAAGTTGGTAGACAAGCCATATTTTATTCAGTTTAGGATTTGGATGGATTTGAGGATCATACTTTCCATTATCTACAGAGTGAAAATATAGGTACAGGTATGTATTGTTTTACTTAACAAAACCTGTTGAAAGACAATGCTTGTTGAAAAAAAAAATTGTGGACAGCATGGAATTCTTTGACCAATACAATGATATTTTGGGTTTCTTGACAATGCCTTGTAAAATAAGAAGCCCTAAAAATAGTACTCTAATTTCACCACTTATAACAGGTACTATTTACTTTTTTGAATGTTATGTATCACAGAAGTATCAGCTAACTTGTGCTGCAAACCTATTAGTGTCAAGTACTATATGATCATTTCTACTAGCTCATCATCAAGGTATACATTCAAACACTGTACTGCTAAAACATTCTTCATCTTCAAACTCATGGTTGATATTTGTGTCACCTTCATAAGGAAATAGTGGAGCAGGTTCATTTGTTGGCAGGGATGGATTTACCTTCTTCTGTCCACGAGCATCAGCCATACTGTCAGAGTCAGAGGAAAGTTCATCCTCTTGTGTATCTCTCACCATAGTGTCCTGGAAAGATGTGATCCTACCAAACATTGCAGATTTTCACTTGGTACTCTGGTTTCCTCCTGTACTAATAATGGAAAATACTTGTACAGTATAGGACATACTCATCAGATACATTGGGGGAATTAACCCTTGGGCTTCGGGCTATGGTCGATATAACCCCCCACGCATTCCTTGCTGGTATATTTGGGAACATTTAAAAACAGTTCATCTTACTGGCCATACATGATATAAACAGGAAATAAATACATATCCTTACCACAGGTTGGCAACATGAGCCAGGAAGAGTCAAAAATGTTCATGAAGTGATGTGTGTGTGTGACTCAGTTGTAACGAGGTATACAACACTAATTTGTAGGCAGTATGAGTTACAGGACACTTGTTTAGCTACTGTATGTTATTACTGTTTACACTTTTAATAATCATTATTACTACTACAGTTTTTGATCACTATACTAGACTTGTGCTTGGGGGATTGGAAACACATGGGTAAGTGAGTCAAGTTCAAGGGCGAGATTCCTTCAGCACAAAACTTGAGAAGAGACTAGGAGGTTCTTATGTGTGAGTGATTGAGTGAGTGAAGGATTAATACCTATGTACTTGGCAACATAATCTAGCCAGGCCCACCCTTTTTATTCAAATAGGCCCGCGAAAGATCAAAATATCATATGACATGACCCGAAGCTCTACAGGCACACGTCATATGACGTGACCCGAAGCCTAATGGGTTAAACAAGCCAATGGCTTCCTTTCCCTTTTCAAAGTGGTGAATTAAAAAAAAAAGAGAAATGTAATGGGCCTAACCATCAATTTTTTTTTATTTGAATTGGGTTTATGAAGAAGTTGGTAGAGCCAGAGTGTAGCAGAGGAGAGTACAGGACTGTGTTTAATGTGAAGTATGTTGACCTGTCACATATTTATGCTCATGTAGAATGTTTAGATTGTAACAGTATAGTTTTCAACATTATATTTTTATTGATGAATGTGTCATCCAACAGATTTTGATAGCAGATGTTCCTCGAAGAACTCTAGCAGCCCCAATGCTGGACTTAACAATAGAGACTGCATACCTGCTCATTAACAGCTGCCCATATTTACAACTTTTGGGAAATCTTATTTCCTGGAATGTAACTCCTGAAGAGGTTAGTGATCATTATTATTCACAATAACTTTTTCACTAGCTGAGGTCTTTTTCAGAAGCTATAAGTAAGAATAGCTGTTGGGAAGCACACAACTATCAACCATATTATAATACTTCATGGTTGTTTATGGGGATGTGAGTATGAAACTTGGACTTGCGGCTTGACTTGGACTCGGATATAATCTGACCTGACGTGGCTCGAGACTTACCTCTCTTGACTTATTACTTGAGACTCATAATATTCTGACTTGTTTCTTGCCTGAAATTAACTGATTTATTTTAAAATTTATTAATACAGGGGGTATCAAGAAAATTTAATGTATTAACTTTTATTCAATGCCATTTCGATTGTGCTTGTTTATCATGGTATGGTATAGTGACCTTAGAAAGTAATTATAAAGGGTAGGATGGAGGTTATGCAAAACAACAATTAGATATATATACACTTTATGATTCGCCCACAACAAATGATGTATTTGAATAATTTAGCAGTGTTGGATTACTTCCTCCAGGGGTTCCTCATTCACACCACTCATGCTTCAGTCATACCACCCTTGCCTCAGTCACACCACCCATGCTTCAGTCACATCACCCATGCCTCAGTCACACCACCCATACTTCAGTCACACCACTCATGCTTCAGTCACACCACTCATGCTTCAGTCACACCACTATGCCTCAGTCGCACCACCCATGCTTCAGTCACACCACTCATGATTCAGTCACACCACCCATGCTTCAGTCACACCACCCATGCTGAGAACTATGAAACTCATGCTGCATCCTTGTGTGCTGAAAAAGGCTTAGGCTGCAGCACACTGGTCACTACATGTCAAACCTTCACCATTGATAAAGTTGAAGAATGCTTTCTCACTTAATTCCACACGAACATATTACAATAGTCTTATAATTTTTTTTAATTCCATTTTTCTGTTATGCAACAGGGATCCAATTGCATTACATAAACCTATCTGATTTTCATTACCGTAGCTACAGGAGTATATTTAAAATATTGATGGTCATGCTTGCTTGTACAATCTTTAGGAGATGATCCATAATTTTCTCTTACGCTGTCCTTGGATTTTTTATTTACACACTGGAAGATGTTATTTTTAATTATTTGAATATTGTTTCTTACAGCTCTGAATATATCCTAGATCATTGCATCAGCCTATACTAGTTATTTTCCTCCACAGGTAGCTGAATTACAGTCTGTGACAAGAACATGCAACCACAATCTTACAGTCATCTACACCCAGTCAAATAAAATGAAAGGCAACTTAGCAGCTTAAACCTGTTCATCAGAATTGTTTACACAAAGCATACAAGATGTGGGTAGACAGTACTCCTTGTTGTATAACGCAGTATTAAATCATTGTACTGTACAGTCTGCGCGGAATGTCAGATCGTGTGCTGAAAAAATATTGATGTTTACGATTATGTTATATAAATAAAGTCAAGTAACATTTACCACTTCAATTAATACTTTGTAGTGTTTCCTCTGCGCTTCAGACAGTCTTTTAGCCTTCGAGGAACACTGTCAGCAAGGTTTTGTAAGAGGTCAGGTGGCAAGTTAGCCCAGGTATCCTTGATGGCTGCCTCTAGCTTCGGGATTGATGATGTGTCAGCGTCGCGCAGATGACGCTTAACAATGGACCACAAATTTTCTATTGGGTTAAGATCTGGGCTACTGCCAGGCCAGTCATTAAAGAAAGGTACCTCACAGTCTTGAGCCACTGTATGACACTTTTAGCAGTGTGGCATGGGGCACCGTCCTGCATGAAAAGGCTTGCCTTAGCTGTATCAAATGATTCAGGTAAGAAATCACTGAGCAGTTCAAGATAGTTGTACTGATTCATCATCTGGTTCTTAGGGAGGATTACTAGTTCACCAACACCATAATACGTAAAGGAAGCCCAAACCATAAGCGAGGCAGGGTGCTTAACAGTCTTTACAGTGTACTGTGGGAGGTGCGCGTCTGAGTGGGGGGGCGGTACACCCTCCCTCCATTACTCCCAGTCACAGAAAACGTAGCCTCATCCGACCATAATACACTCCTCCATGTCTCTAAATCCCACACATTTCTTGCAAAATTTCACTCTATTTTCCTTCTGTCTCTTTGTCAACAGAGGTTTACGGCGGGCACGAAAGCTCTTAAATTCCAGGTCATCGTGCAGGGCTTGTTGAACACAACGTAACGAGACGTGACTCAAAAGACGGAGGTTTCTCTCTTTCACTTCACGTGCTGTGAGTGAGGGATTGGACCGAACTTGTTGAGAAATAACCTTAAGTGTCCGTGGAGACAATAATTTAGGCCTACCAGACTTAGGTAGTGAGCTGGTAACTCGTCCTCTCCAAGGTCACGGAAACGTTTGACAAGATTTTGAACAACTCGTAATGCCACACCAGTCTGAGCCGATATTTCTCTCAGTACATGGTTCGCTTTGTACAATGCAATCACTGCTGCAATATCGTCTCTTGTAGTAACCCTCCTGGACATCTCTGATGGCCACTATGTCGGGTTAATGCACCTTAAACTAGACAAAACATGGCCACATGGCGCGGGAACCCGCACAATAAATCTCACCCTCACAGCTGCCAGAGGCGCACTGACTACAAGCCGTGACCTGTTCTCGGTTGCCAAATTACAGCACTTGCCAACAAACCAAGCGTTTTGACATCTCGCATCCCAGGACAGGCTTCACAACATATGATCTTATTTTTGCGAGAACTTAGTTCGTCGGCCCTATCGCGACTTAACATTCCGCGCAGACTGTACGTTAACAAATACAGATATTGTACTAAAAAGAAAACCAGAAAGATGAAATTCAAAGGAATAAAAACTGAATTTACATACAGTATTTATACTGTACGGTACTGTGATTCTGAGTGTACTTAAGAAATTTTACTCATTCAAAAACTGAGTAAATGATATCTCCGTTAGCCGGAACAATTCGGGCAGAGCACTTCCAGGAGTGAGAGATTTCTGGGTAACGAGATGACTCTCGAACCCTGGAAGAATTCCCCCCATTCCTGGAATTTTCCAGGTGCCGTGAAAATTTTTTCAGAATTTCGCAAAAAATATGCCCCTCACAAAATTTTTCCCAATGCCGGAATTTACGGAAAATTCAGGCTTTGGAAACAGTTTTCTGAGAAAATTTCAATATCGGCTATCAGAGAGTTGTGGTTAAGAGGGATTCTGGCTGAAAGAGGTATTACTGTACTGTAGTCTGAATAGATATTTCCAGAATATCATACCACAACACAAATCTGTAAGCTTTCTAATTACCCTTCTGTACCACAAAAACCTGCTATCCATTTGGCAACTCCCTGTGTATAGAATGTTCCACAGCATAAACAATATACTGTATGTATTAGTAAATAAAAGATTTAATTATATAGTGTATCATAGTAAATGATTCCAGTCAAATTTTTAAGTTGGGTGAAATGAAACTAATGCAAGTCAGGAGGGTCATTGATTTTATTTGCTTTATTGTATCATTTTGGTTATGTTTATCTTGCAAACAGAAGTGAACCTGAAGTGTAGAATATGGTGTGAGTGTCATAGGCCTAATCCTGTATTGGTTATGATTCTGCTAATTTTTATAGTATTTAATGGAAATTAAACCATTGAAGATGAATGAAGTAAGATATATCTTTTTATATGACTCATATTGAGTGCACGATTCTTACTTGTTTCATAAAGAACCAAAGATAATTCTGAGTGAATTTAACCTTTTATTTCAAACATTGGGTTAGATTTTTATGTAGGTAATTATTTGAGTGGATATTCCATTGTGATAATTTTGTTTCTTTTTAACATGAGTAGTTTTAGAGACTAGGATTTGATCATGTAAGTATTTGGCATATTTGAAGCTTTAGTTAATATGTTTAAGGAAATACTGTACTGCACTGTACTTATAATCATTGTGATGAATTATTATACATCTTTAATTTATATACTGTATGTGACTCAGACTGTTTCAAAAGTCTTTTAACTACAGGTATATGCTAATTAACCTGAGACGTTTAAAAGATATGGTTTTAAATTTAGTTGTGTTAATGCACAAGCAAATGTGCACTGTTATACACATTTGATAACTGTGACAAGATATGCACACACGCATGCACAATGAGTTAAAAACTGTGATTATGATTAACCTAAAGCTACTCTTCATGCATTTTTGTGCATGTAATGATCATGCAAGGTCTTGGAAAGAACAGGCAATGACTGCTATACAATGGATCTCTATAAGCTCGATCAGTTTTACAATGTTAAAAATTTACACCATTTTCCCGCTAGTTTTACGATGGTTGCTACCCGAATGCCTTTCTTGCATTATCACTGCTATGAAAAAGTGATATGCAATAACTCACAATATTCCAAGATACAATGATGCAATCTCAGAATGGCATAACATGTGCAACCCACTTGGAATGCGTCACAGGTTCTGCTTGTCCCCAGAGACTGCCAGGCTAAGCAGCTGAACTGTCATGCCGTCCAGAGGATGGTTTGCATGTGGAAGAAGCTTTTCTTTGTACATAATCAAATATATAGTGTACCAGTAAATTTGAGGAATAAATAAAAGAAAAGACAAAATACTGCATTGCCATTTGGGAACCTTGTCACTACTCGTGAGACAGCGAGCCAAGATTCCCAATACCATTCCTCCGTTATATGCGTTAAGTCTTGCACACGTAAGAAATGTTAATTTCATTATATTTTGGACCTTATGAAAATTACTATATACAGTAATGTACTGTATTAAGTATATATATATATATATATATATTTTTCACCTGTATGAATGATTGTGTGTGCATGTAATGGTAAAAAAAAAAAAGAAAGAAAGAAATTACATACTGTACAGTATATCTACCCAATTTGTAAGTTCAGAAATAACAATAATGTAGCTCACAGCTGGGTGGGTGGCTGAAATCCAAACTAACTCCTATGGATGTAGGAAATGTTTTTATAAAATTTTTATCTTATTATAATAATCTTTTTTTGTTCACATTTTGTATGACAGATTGTGTGTGCATGTAACAGTAAAAAAAAAAAAAAAACATGAAGCAAATTCTATATGTCTGCTCCCACCCTGTGGTCCCATGCACGTAAGAAATGTTTATTCCCTTTATGTTTTGACCTTTTAATAATTATGTTTTTATTTATTATTTTTGTATTTTTTGCACATTCTGTATAAAAAATTGTGTGTATGTAACAAAGGTTAAAAAAAAATTAAATTGCCTATGTCTACCTGAAATTTCAAGCTGTGCCGCGGGTGAGTCTTCGTAAGCAAGCTCCCAGCCTAGTAAATGTTTGTGGGCATTGTCCACAGACTGTGTCGAAGTGCTGGCATCAAGCGCAGAACTCTGCGATGAGTTTTGTTGAAGGATTAATATAGTTTTATATAACTATATAATATTTCAAACATTGTTATGGTTGTCAGAAGTAAGCTCCCAGCCAAGTAAAGATTTACAAGCCGTGTCCATATACCGTGTCCAAGTCTTGGCACAGAGCTCTGTGATGAGTTTATGGGAAGGATGAGTATAAGTTTTATCTCACTATATTTCAAGCTGTGCCTTAGGTGAGTCAGGAGCAAGCTCCTCACCGAGTAAAGGTTTGTGGGCCATGTCCTCAGACTGCATCGAAGGTCTGGCACCAAGCACAGAGCCCTGAGATGAGTTTGGTGAGGGATTAGTATACACTGTACAGTAGTTTTATATAACTTTATATAATATTTCTAGCTGTGCCTCGGGTCAGTTGGAAGTGAGCTCCCTTCCAGGTCGAGATTTATAGGCCATGTCTGCAGACTGTGTCCAAGTCCTGAGATAAGTGTTTGTGAGGTCTGTATTATCTTTCTTAAGAATTATTTTATATCATTAGTGATGTACCAGAAGGTTTGGTATCATGAAACGACTTGCAAGAGTGATTCAACTGAGGGAAGGTTTTCGGGCTCGCTACACAGAATATTTCCAAGTTCTTTCACCGAGCGCAAAGCCCCGATCACTTTTGTAATGAGGGGTTTGTCCCCCCCGACCATTGGTTAAGTTAATGCCTGTTCGTTAGGTTATACTTCCAAAACAGAGGGTGGGGTTACTACACTCCTAAGTGGGGGGGGGGGGCTTAGGTTACACGTCATGAACGGTAGTTTGGTTGCAGCTGGAAGACCGCAACTTGCTCCTGTACACATACATGTCATGTAATGGTAAATGAAAAAAATGTTTATAAATTTATTGTTGTGCCTTTATTTTGTATAAATATATTGATTTGGTGTCTATATATAAATTATTTGAGTTATTTAGACATCAATTAAGCATTATAGCAATAGGATATAAATTTTGTTTGGGCTCTTCTGGGTCTCGGGAATGGAACCTTTTTCCCCATGTCATTATACGATCGATCACTTATCAATGGCTTTTTGAAGTCCCTAACCCCATCCTATGACGATCATTGCCTGCACAGTACCTGCAAATCTCCAATAGTAAAAGAAAAAAGTTGTCTACTTATTAAACAACATTTATAATAGGTGATTTTGCTGTATTGTACTTTTTTGTATACAGTACAAATATAGAACAGTTAGTTTTCTTCATAAAAAAAAAATAATTTTTCTATGAACTATTTTAGTTTCTAAAGACTTTATATAAACTAAATTATTTTATTTTTTCCATCTGTACAAATGAATTATGTACTCGATATTACTGTAATAAAGAATCTTATGTTATTTTATTTTATTTTCTATCCTTTAATCCATCAATGACAACTGTATT